CCCCAAAACCCCAAAACCCCAAAACCCCTCTTGCTGTTATATAAATTGTTAAAATGTATTTAGGAATGAGCAGTAGTAGCATCAGCTCAGATGCACCTCCCAAGACTGTAGATATGAAGTAACTCAACATTAGTAATTACTTAGTAAAATCAGATCAGAGGCTTTCTCTACTAAGAACTCGACCAGGCGGTCAAAGTTCCTAAGGGCGTAAGTTTCATACTACAAATGCTTTACTTTTCAAATCAGGCGTGACCGATTTGAATTTGGAGTATAGAATCCAGAAAAGCGGGTTTATCCGCAGTGAATGAACTGACAATAATCGGAAATCTTCAATGAAGTAATCCACTACTTAACCTATAGACGCAAAGGGATCAATGTAGGGTACCTGGGATTCGTCAAAATATAGAAGCAAGCAGCTGCAGTTGTTCAAGCTAGATTTCTCACTGAATGACAAGATTCAGTTATTTATAGCTCCATATTCAAGGTAAATTTAGAACCCAAAATCTGCATTTTCTGGTTTAGTAATAGCTTTACCTAGCATTTCAAATTTATTAAAATTCAGATAAATTTATTCTTGGCTTCTGATATTTCCTAACAAATCTTTCCAACAGCCAAGTTGAGTTCCTCGACTACATGAGGTTCAAAGGGGACGAAACAAAGCAAGAGAAGGAATACCGCTCACTTTGGTCGAAAGTTTACAGCTTTTTATTCAATAAGGACACGAAGATCTTCCTTGGCAACAAGGGGAACCTTGAAAGAGCCCTTGAGAAGCTCAAGAATTCTCAGAAATAACGTTACTTTCTATGATGCCATGTTATATCGGAAGTAGACATTCTTGGTAACACTCTAGGTACACAGGGAGGAAGAAGAGCATTCTCAACTTATCACGTAGGGCCACTCAAAGAGTAATTTTATGTATCACTCCTTAGGGCTCCTTAAAGGCTCAAGTAGAGGAACTCCTTAGATTTGACATTAAGAAAAGAGATTCAGTCATTCTTCAGTATTCTTTTGTGCTTACCTCAAGACTTAGTGAAGCAGGTCAATCCCTCTCTGACACCATTCTTGGAGGATGCCAATTTTAAGTCAATTAAAGATTTTGAGCAGTTCTATAAGTACTTTAAGAATGAGATAAGAAGCACTAAAGTTAGGAAATATACAGTGAAGCTGAAAATACGCAAGTCTGACTCTTTCATGATGAAAGCGAAACCTCAAAAGGTAAATCCTTTCAAATATTTGAAGTTTCTCCAATCTGGATCTGTTTAATTCAAGAGGATATAATCCAAGCTAGATTTTCAGGGCTTTTATTAAGCTAGAAAACGATTAAAGGCACTTAAACTGTATGATTGCCACTAGAGTAGTTCGAGCACTTCTCGAGGTAGATGAACAATGTGCTCATTCATAACTTTGAAGGTGCCAATTTTGAAGCTAATGAGGAATTTTACTTCCAGTAACAGAGAATTAGCCTATTAATTCGATGAAAATCACTTCAATTGTCATGTTGGTAAACACTTGCTATAGACTGCAGGCTTGCAACCAAACTCTCAAGGGATCAAAGTTGGAACGTAAGATTGACACTAACCCGCAGTTTTGAAGATGACAGTATCAATTCGATATCCCGCAGGTACTAAGATTTCTAATTTAACCTAAAGATGAGTGAATTAGCTTATAAGCACCACATATTTCCTTCCATAATCTTTAATCCTAGTTTTGACTAGGTTTCCTTCTTCACTAGAAGAGAGTAGTCCTCCAGTGATGGCTATGCAATATTGTACTTATTTACCTCACCTAATCTGGCCTAAGTACATGAGATAGTTCTGAAAGAATAGTTTTCTCACAAATTTATCGCCTTCTGTCTACTAAATTCTTCAGGATTTTACTATGAAATTTCAAAAGTGTTAGCTATGCGAATCTCTGTATCCAAATGTCATTGAGACCTATTCTAATACCTATTCTTAGCTAAACCATCCTAAAGGGCATCTTAGAGGTTAAGTAGGACTTCTGGAGATGTACTTAGACAAACTGGAGTGATTCATCCGACTAGTCTGTGATAAGCCTTGGCCTGGTCGTTAGCTTAAGATATGCAAAGAATTTAGTTATAGCTGCTTGAATCTCTATTTAAGTACTCAAAGTTGTCTTTTGGGGTAATCTTGGGGGTTAATGGTCTGAGATATAGGTATAAATCGAGAAGATCGAAGATTTCAGAGCTATCGAATGATCTAGAGTCTCAAGATGATAAAAATGGAGGGAGGAAAAGGTAAGCTGAAAATGTTGGAAATAGATGAAGGGTTAAGTGTGGATGAGTTTGGAGGAGAAATAAGCTTATAGAATCGTTTTGTGTTTCAAATCTGTAGTTTTAGATTTTTGAGAAGATTCTGGAAGTAATTTTTTTAAAATAAAATTGGCTTTCTCTGATTTTTGTTGATTTTAAAAAGATATATTCCTTATTTTGTTTTTAAGTGGCAAAATTAGAGGAACTAAATTTTTAAACAATCCTAACTTCACCAAAGCACACACAAATAGAGTAAATTTAAAGTTTCCAAAACTTCATAGCCAATTGAAGCAAAGAAGAATCAAATAAGAAAGGATAAATAAACTACAAAGGATCCTTAGCGCTAAGCAGAGGTAGATAGAACCCTAACAACTCCTAATTCTGATATATAGTCTATCGATCAATATGAAGAGAGAAATAAATGAGGCCATTTCCACACCAGTTGCATTGACCAAAAGTAATGTTTACCTAACTTCTAGGACGCTTGGCTTCTCCTCCAGACCTAAAATCGCCAGAAATTCTTTCAAAGTTACACCAAAAATTGCAAAAATCAAGATCCCGGTCTAAATTAAGGTTAGCCTTAACCCTCATAATTAAAGCTCCAAAAGGATGAAAAGAGTGTATAACTGAACTGTTCTTAAATTCAAAAACCAGAAGCTAAAATAAGCTTCTCTTCAAGAAAGGTATGGCTGGCCATAACGCTCTAGCACGGCAAAGATATGTAAGCCCAAGAGATAGCCTAGCAGAGAAATCTGGGCGAAGAATGGTCCGTATGAAGTCTTCTGAGACAACGAGGATCTACTCAGAAGATACTAAGGAGCATGCTAGAAAGCCAGCAGCTGTAAAAATGCTGAGGAATTTCACTAATCTGAGAGTCCAAAAGGACCTACTTGTAGGTGAGCAGACAGATTCTGACGAAGAGCTGAAACCATTATTTACTTATGATGAAAGAGCATTTCAATTGTAGAAGAAAATACTGGGGTTTTGGGGTTTTGGGGTTTTGGGGTTTTGGGG